CCGCTGCACGTGTGGGCACACATGGACCCCCGACCCGTACACGTGTGCACCACAGCAGCCCCCCACCGCTGCACGTGTGGGCACACATGGACCCCGGGATGGGGGAGGCGGACTCACTATGGTTCTGTCAATAGTGTGCAGGTAGTAGGAGACGGGCTTCCCGGTCCATGAGACTGAGCCCTTCAGGGGCGACAGCTCCACAACGCGCATGATGGTGCCGATGTCTGCGCACAGGGGAGCACACACGTGAGCACACAGAGGAGGTGGGGGCGTCATCCTGGAAGGGAGGGCAATCAACAGGGCAGGGACCCCCCAACCTAGAAGGATCTGAGGACAACTGGCAACAAGGCCAGAGCACCAGCAGGCTCCCAACTGGAACTGGTGCCAGTGGGCTGCGTAAAGTCACCACCAAGAGCCCAGACGTCGGGGTGCACCTTGGCTACTCCACCCCCTGCCTGGCCTCCGCAGGTATCATCCAGTCCACAGCGAGCCCCAGGCCTCCGGGCCGGTCTGTGCAGGCCCTCTGACCTGAGCCTATACTCCCTTCATCCTGTGAAGCTCCTCTGAAAAAGGGTCTCACTGTTCAATCCTGTCCTAAGGGTGAGGGGCCAAGACCTAGGACACTGGTGGTTGTCTTGACTGGGGGAGGAGTGGGCAGAAGCACCCCCTGGCGCACAGAATGCACCCCCAGCTCTGGGAAGAGCTCAGTCTGTGAACAAGGCCACAAGGGAGAGCTTGCACAGACAGACAAGTAGGTTCAGATTACACGTCAACAAAGAAAGCTTCTTACCACTCAAGTTCCGACTGTTGATTCGGAAGTTCAGAGGTGCAAAGGGTTTGGAGGATACGATTCTGCCACCTGAAACACAGACGCCAATTACTGCCATTCTCAGAAGAAGGGCACAGCCGGAGGCGTACACACAGCATGCACGGAGGTGCACCCCGCCAACAAGAAGAGGAGGGGCGTGTGCACGCACTGGAGGCGGCGCTCAGGAGGGGACAGACACGAGACAGTCAGCACAGGAAAGGCTGTCAGACTGGGAGCTGGGTGAGCGATGACGGTTCCTAGGTGCCGTCGACTCCCAGTGACCCTGTGAGCACACCTGGCCTGTGCCGTCCTCACAATCTGACACTCTGGAGCCCACTGCTGCAGTCACTGTGTCAATCCACCTGGTTGAGGGTCTTCCTCTCCTTCGCCATCCTTCCACCTTCCCAAGCACCATGTCCAAGGAATAGCTTCTCCTGGGCGCAAGTCCAAAGTATGTGAGGTGAAGCTTGGCTGCACCTTCTCCAAGGCACAGCTATGTTCGTTTGGCAGTCCATGGGATGTTTACGCTCTTCTCCAACACCACAGCTCAAACGCATCGATTCTTCTTCTGTCATCCTTATTCACTGTCCAGCTCTCAGATGCACAGCAAGTGATTGAAAAGACCGTGGTCGGAATTGGGTGCACCTTATTCCTCAAACTGGCTTCATTGCTCCTCAGTAATTCGGAGTGGTGGTCCCTGATTGCAGACTTTTCCAGTGTAATATGTCTCCTGGCTACTCGTATCAAGTGTAGTGATTGTGGATCCGAGTAAGACGTAGCTGTTGACAGTTTCAATCTTTTTCTCCATCTATCACCATGTAGCCTATAGGTCCAGTGGTAAGAATGCTTTTTTAACACTGACATGCAATCCATGTTGAAGGCTGAATGTCTTTGATCTTCTGTAACAACTGTTTCAAGTTCTATTTTTGACAAAGAAAATCGTGTTATCTGCATATTGAAAGTGACTGACGAGTCTTCCTTCGATCCTGACTCCACATTCTTCTTCATAGACTCCAGCTTCTGAAACACTTTGCTCAGCACACAGACTGACTAAGGATGAAGAAAGGTTACAACCCTGATGCATGCCTGCCTTTCTTCATTTTAAACATGTAGTCTTCGTCTGCTCTGGTCACACAATAGCCTCTTGGTCTAAATACTGGTCTAACGTGAGCCCAATGACGTGTGCTGGGATTCCCATTCTTCTCACCGTCAGCCATAACTTGTTACGATCCAGTCAAACGCCTTTGCATAGTCAGTAAACCACAACTAGACATCCTGGATTTCTCTGTTCTCCGCGCAGAGCCATGTGACATCAGCAATGCTATCCCTGGGGCCATGACCTCTTCTGCACTTGCACTTCTGGCATTTCTCATCTGTGTACAGTTCAGCAGGATTCTGCTGGCGTGCGATACGCATGGTACTGTTTATTAATTTCTACCTTCCGCGGGGTCACTTTTCTTGGGGCTGGGAACAAACACAGATCTCTTTCTGTTCATCAGCCAGGCAGCTAAGCCTCCAAATTTCCTGGCACAGACTGGTAAGTGACTCCGGGGTTGCATCTGTCATTTCAAACATGTCAACTGGTGTCCCACCGATTCCTAGGGCCGTATTTTTGCCAGTGTATTCAATGCAGCTTCCACTTCCTTCTTCACGATCATACGGTACTGCAGGAAATCGTCAGTTTGGCCAGTTCTTTTTCTACAGGGCTTCTCTGTGTTCCCTCGACCTTCTTCAGATGGTCATTTTAAGGGTACACATACGTGTAAACACACAAGCAGCACGTGTACACACACACTCAAGCACATCACATGCACACAGAGTTCCCGTCTCACTCCTGGCCTGAAGCTCTTGCAGGAAACCCCGCACCCAGGTTTGGTCCCTAAGTCCCTCCCTATACAAAGGAATGGACAGTGCCCAGGACCAGGGGCACCCACACTCAAGGGGACAGAGAAGGAACTCCTCTGGAGGAGCCCGGGTTCCAGGAGGCCCCCCGTTAGTAATTACGGACACCCTTAAACTAGTTCCTCTTTCTTTATCAGACACACGTGTATGCAGTGTGTGAGCTTTCACTGCTCGCCCAGCTGCCTGCCTCAGCCCCGGGGTCTCAGCTGAGGTGGTAGGGAGGTGGCTGGCAGCCTTGGGAGATGCCTGGCTAGGGGCTCGCTAGGATGCCTCACAGGTAGAAACCCCAAAGTCCCAGGACAAGGTACAGCTGAGTGCAGACAAGAGGCTCGGGCACTGGAGGGCACTTGGTCCCCTCTGCCGACAGAAGGGGCTCAAGGACACGAGTGTCTCCGTCTCAGGCCAGGTCAGCACAGGCCGAGGCCAGCAGGAGGCCAGTCTCTGCGGCCTGCAGCCAGAGGGACTGCTGGCTCACGGCGCCTACCTTACCTTCCTTCATGTTTGCAAATCGTTCCTTCAGCTGGTGATCCACCTCAGGACCAAAGGCAAAGTTATTCACAAATATAACACTGCAAAACAATACTCCAGTTCAGTCCACGGAGGCTCCGTGCAGCCGCCAGTCCTAGCAACCCCGTGACAAGCCCACCCTCCAGGGGGTTTCCTTAGTCTGTGGTCGAACACAGAACTTGCCAAGAAATTGTCCGGGCCTTTGGGCTGCGGGCCCCCTGGGAGGAGCCAGCACTTGGCGCTGAGACACAGCCCCTCCGGCCTGGTGCATGAATGTCACATGCCTTCTGACGTCTAGCTCCACCTGAGCCGTGAGAATGCCCTGGGGCAGGGATCCAGGATGGAACCCGCAAACCTTAGCGCTCCCACAGGGAGCCCAGGGGAGACCCCTCAGGGTGTGTGGGACCCGCCTGCTTCTGTATTCCAGCTCCACCACAGGGAGATGCATGTGTCCTGAGTCCAGGGGTCACCGAGTGCGGCCCCCCGTGTGGCAGTGCTGGGGCCCAGGGAATGAACGTCCTCTAACCCTGAAGGACACGCTAGCCCGCTCTCCCATAGCCGCACGTGCTCTTGGGTGGTGAGGGAGCAGAAGGGTCATGAACTGAGACCCTGGCCCACCCTTCTGCCCTGGCCTTTCGCCTCCTGCCCTGGTCAGCCCCGCAGAGGCTTCCGTGTTGACTTAAAGGCTCTGCAGGCAGCAGAGTTCTAGAAATGTCTACGTGGGTGGCTAACTTGAGGACAAGGCAGCTCTTTCAAAGTGAACCCTCACTCAGGCCCCTGGACGGGTGTGTCATCTCTGAACTGAAACAGAGTGGGGATGCCAATTCAGATGCCCAAGGGGCTTCTTCTGAAGGATGTTTTCTAATCAGGAAGGCTTGCCACATCTCTCAGTACCCTCAGTAGTCAGGAAGTGTAAGAGGGAAGTACCAGGAACATGTCAACAAAGGAGACCGTTCTGAGAGCTGGCAACAAGAGGAAAGCAGAGATGGACACACGGAGGTGACCCCTCTTTGGCTGGCCGAGAACAGGCCTCAATGCCCAGTGTGGTGACAGGGGGACCGTGGACACATCGCGACATGGAACGGGGCCTCACATCACTGCTGTGTGCGGCCAGGGAGAGCAGACCCCCCCCCCCCCGACACACGCCTCCTGTTGATGGCCCTCCGGCCGAGGGAAAACAGGGCGGGAGCAGGACAGAGCACTGCCAGCACAGGATGTCATCTATCATGACAAGGACAGGAGAAGAGGGGCTATGAAGGATCATGTGGTCACTTCTCATGACAAGGGCAGAGGAGGTTAGGACAGGTCCAAGCGATTGCTTGTTGTGATAAAGACAGGAGTTATGACAGGACCAGGCTGTCATCTGTCGTGACAAGGGCAGGAGCAAGGCACTATGAAGGGACAAGCTGTCACTGTTGTGACAGAACAAGTGCCTCCCTGAATCCAGTCTGGAGAAGGAGACAAGGCCTGCGGCTAAGGCATTAGGGTGGGGACGACACCCAGCAGGCACTGAGGCTGAGCTCGGCTGGCCTGTGAGGTCCGTGGCAAGCAGCAGGAGACGTGGCCTCATGGCTGTCCTGACCAGGGGACCCCGTCGTGTGACTGCCTCGCCTCCAGGCCAGTCCTCCCGATGGGGCTGGGGGCCTGCGCTTAGCACCCTGTGCCCGGCACCCTAGGCAAGGCTGGCCCTCAGCACAATCCCCCTCGGCACCCTGCGCCCGGCCCCCTCGGCAGGGCTGGCCCTCAGCACGGCCCCCTCGGCACCCTGCGCCCGGCCCCCTCGGCAGGGCTGGCCCCCAGCACGGCCCCCTCGGCACCCTGCGCCCGGCCCCCTCGGCAGGGCTGGCCCCCAGCACGGCCCCCTCGGCACCCTGCGCCCGGCCCTACCTTGTGTTCGCAATCCGCTCTCGCCACTCTTCTGAGAGGAAATCGCCTCTTTCCAGCTGGAAGGAAGACAAGAAGGAGTGTTGATCCCAGTCCTCCTGGGGCAGCCCGGCCCGCAGAGAGAAGCTGAGACCAGCAGAGCGCCCAGGAGTCGGAGGGACAGCACGGAGCAGGGGCCACGCGGTGACCGCACGGCAGGCCCCCCGAGGCTGGGTCAGAGGGCACGGGGTGTCGGGCAGCACGCTGGGGGGCAGCCACAGGGCACATACGGGGGGCCGAGAGGGGCCCACTTCCACCTCAGCGCAAACACCATCCACAGCCCCCACACAAACCTCAGCGCCCCCTCCCTGAACCCCTCCACAGCCCACACGTGGGGCTGTCCACGCTGTCCACTCCTGCATCTCTTACCACCACAGTCCTACACTCCTCAAACCCCCACGACGCCCACAGCCACCCCAGCCC